ATGGAAGAGACATCTCTTCTATTTTTCGCACAACATTCAATTAAACTCTTTCCATTCTAAGTGATATAAGTGGCACACTTGTTGATTCAAAATCCAAGTTGGGGTCCCTATCTTATTATGATACAAAAAAACTTCTTTCATTTAAGTGATATAAGTGGCACACTTGTTAATTCTATATCCAAGTCAAGGTCATTTTCTCAATATGCAAAGACTCATTTAAAGAAACATGTGGCATTACTCTGGATTTTCTACATCCAAGTTCAAAGCTTCTTCCCTTATTATTTTTTTAAAATTTTTGTGGAGAATAGGTGAGATATCTCCCTTAAGATGACAATTTGTATCTTCTCTCAAAACCAACAAACCCAACTTCACCCATTAGTAGGTGGAACTACGAGCGCTCTGATTTCTCAAATTTCGTCTTGAGAGGCATAAGATTGCGAAATCTTAGCGAGCACAATAACAAATAAAACCCTTAGGTTCTTGTACCTTTATCTTAAACCATTTCAACTTACACTACCAAAAACAACAAAAATTTCTCTCATCACTCACTCAAAACATTCAACAAAATCCCTAACACACAACAACCGATTTTATCAACAAAAAACACAAATATACGCAAGAGGTTCCTATAGAATACTATAGATACTTAGGGTACTAATACCTTCCCTTTGTATAACCAATCCTGATTCCCAAATCTCTTAGTGCATTGCATTACACACACTCACAGGTTTATTTAGATTTTTCCCCCTTCCCTCTCCTGAGATAAATTAAAAGTTCACATGTAGGCTGAAAAAGGGGCGACCTCGCTTCGAAAGAAGGGACCGAATACCGCGTCGACAATTACCATTACTACTAATGCGAGCCTTTCAATCTTGTGATATCGAGATTCAGTTCCTTTGAAAACTTTTCTCACGAAATAGATATATCGCTTCACTTTATTTGACTTTTAGACGAGTACTGAGCTCATTACTTGGTTAGTAACAGACAAATAAAGGTACAATGGTGAACTTATTGTTGAGCGTGTCAAGATGGGTGGTGATGCTAGAAAAGCCTTTAAGTTTAAGAATGCCTCATCACATTCACTGTTCCATTTAAACCTCTATGTTTTCTTTAGCATGGCAAAGAAGTAGAAAGCCTTGTAACCTGCACATGAAAGAAAATGAGGTATGACAGCGAAGTACCCTATTAGTTGTTGAACCTTTTTAAAACTGGAGAGACTCCTCATATCAATGATGGCATGATATTTATTGGGGTTCACTTCTATGCCTCTCTTGGTCAACATGAAACTAAGGAATTTACTTATTCGCACGCCAAATGATCATATGGAAGAATTCAAACGCATGTTGTAATTTTTGACTAACCTTATGATATCTTGCAAATTTGTTGCATTTACTATATATCATCAATATAAACCTCTAGGTTATGCTCTATATGTTTTAATAACACTGCATTCATGAGTCTCAAATAGGTGGTTTCTACATTCTTGAGCTCAAAAGGCATGACATTATAATAATAGTTGTTATTACATAAAATTTACGTCATTTTATAGGCAACATGTGAAACAAAATGTTATGACAAGATGTGAGACATCCTGTCTTTAAGTGATAAACTAAGGAAGCAACATGTCAAGCATAATATCATTCATTTTGTGAGACATCATATCTCGCCCAGATTAACTTCATGCGCAAGTTAGTTGAGTGATTCTCGCTCTGATAAGAATATGTTTCCTTTTATGTTTAATCAGGTTTTAAACGTTTATGCGCTTTTTGGAATAAGGAAGATTTTCTCATAATCAATTTTAGCAAGATTAAATTTGACACTGATAATGGCTATATATGTGAGAGGGAGAATTGAAAAAACTTTGTTTGTCAAGAAAGATGAAGGAAAACCCGTAATAGCTCAAATATATATGAACAATGTTGTGTTTGGAGGGATTTCAAGCAAGAAGGTAGACCATTTTGTCAAAAAAATGTAGTTTGAGTTCGAAATGAGCTTGGTGGGTGAACTTACATACTTTCTTGGGTTCCAAGTAAAACAAATGAAAGATGGCATATTTGTGTCTTAAAGCAATTATGCTAAGAACATTGTTAAGAAGTCTGGTCTTGAAAATGCAAGGTATAAACGTACTCATGTTGCCACTCATGCAAATCTCACTAAAAATGACCAAAAAGTGATTGTGGATCAAATTCTCTATAGAAGTATGATTAGAAGTCTATTGTATCTCACTATTATTTGCTCTAACATCACCTTTTTTTGTAGGTGTTTGTGCTCGCTATCAAGCAAATCCTAAAATCGCTACTACGGACAATGATTGAAAAGATATATCACGCAGAACCAGTCGTTGTTACGTAATATGTGGTTGTATATGCGTTACTTACAATCACGATCGTATGACCGTTTGAGAAAACTTGAAAGCGCGCGACATATTACCACGGTTGCTTTAACTAACCGTTGTAATATATTAAAAATCCCATGTTCGATTCTCAACAACGCCTTTTTGATATATATATTATTCTAGACAATTTTCACTATATAACCACGATCATATTTAACATTCGTCATTAAATTATATGCTTTTTTAAAATATAGTTTTCTACTTTTTGAAATTTTTTCATTTTTTAACCTATATTTTAATGAACAATATCAGAAGAGAAACAACAATTGTATCATAAAAAATAACTGTATTTTATTATATCAAATTCATACATTAGATTAAGAATCAAACATTATATGTATATATATATATATATATATATATATATATATATATATATATATATATATATATATATATATATATATATATATATATATATATATATATATATATATATATATATATATATATATATATATATATATATATATATATATATATTACATCAAAAGAAAAATGACACAAAACAACCTACAAAAGTTATATAACATCACATAATTGTATCTTATATAGTGTTTTTGTTTCTTTGTCTCTTGGTGTCTTGACTTTAAACACATACAATATCAAATAATCATACTTGTTAGTAATAAATGTAGTTAGAAATAATAACTTACATTAAATTATGAATGAAGAATAAAATAATTACTTGTTAATTTTTCCACACGCCTTGGTAATGATCTATACAAATAACACGCACATCATCTCTATCAACTTCATCATATGTGGTTGGTATTTTTGTTGTGTAAGAAGGATTATAAGGAATATCAAAACTTTCATCATTGCTAGGAATGTCTTTTCCACGGAGAACGGTTGACCATTTCCCCGATGTGTCCGAAGGGTCGGTCACATAGAAAATTTGTTTTGTTTTGTTTGTGATGCCATGATGAATGATCCAGTCATATAATTTGTCTTGCCAAGGTCAACCCAGATGAATCTTTATTCATCAGTTTGTGCACTATTAATATTATTGGAAACTCACCTGCATTTAAATAAAGGCACTTTGAAGATAACATGATAAATATAAAAATCTCCTCAATGACACCATAGAACACACTAGATGTCAATATTAGATTCTTATCTTTCGAACTAGAGAAATACATGAATTCGTCCTCAAGCATAACTCCATTCTTTTGCATTGTACTACGATCATCTTTTGATTTTGTATAAAAGGTATAGTGACCAATGTCACATGCAGTCTAAGTTATCACATTAAATCTTGTCTGGAATGTTTAGAAGTGTTCCAATTAAACAATCACACAAATTTTCTCCACATGCATCACATCAATAAAATGTCTTACATCAATATTTAACCAATATGGAATATCAAAGAACACATACATCTTTTTCCATATATTTTTCTCAAGTGGTCCTTTTTCTCTCTTTCCAAAGACAACATTAATGTGTTTCTGTCATTGATAAACTTCATCACCGGTTAAAGATTTATGAGCAATATCAAACTCCTACTTTCCATTAAAATCCTTCCGCAATCTACGATAAGAATGATCGGGTTTTAAAAATTTTCAATGCCCAAGGTAAACAATTTTTTTTCAAACTCAAGTTGGTGATGACAAGTATCAGATTCACAATTAGGACACGCTTTGTGTTCGTTGACACTATATCCAGCCAAATTGCCATATGCAAGAAAGTCGTCGGTTGTGCAAAATAACATTGCACACATCTTAATCTTTTCACCAGAATATGCATCATCAACTTCAATTTCTTTCTCCCATAAAAGTATTAAATCTTCAATTAATGGACTTAGATAAACATCTATGTTGTTTTCAGGTTGTCGTGGTTCAGAAACCATCATACTTAACAACATATACTTACACTTCATGCACAATCAATGAGATATGTTGTAAATCGTGAGAAAAATAAGTCACAAAGAATGGTTAGTACTTAGATTACCAAAGGGGTTCATGTCATCGGTGTCAATCCCAAGCCTAAGGTTTCTTGGCTCAGTGTGAAAATTCGAAAATTCGAAAATAACGAATCAATTTTCTTCCATTACAAAGAATCAACTACATGACGTATGTTTCCATCACATTTTCTTTCATCTGCATGCCATGTAATATTCTTTGTGTAATTAGCATTAGCAAAAAATCTCTTGAACCTTGAAATTATTGGCAAATACCATAACACTTTAGCACGAGGCATCTTCCTACTAACATTGTCATTGTCATTGTCATCACCATTGTTGTCTTTCAACTATGTTTTGATATTTAATAATAAATGTTTATGATATAAAATGTAAAAACTAATCTTTTTATTTAAAAAAATGAATATAAGAAATTTGTAATATTTAAAAAAATAATTTTATAAAATATAAAGAAAAAATCTATTAATAGGGGTATTTTGCATAATCTGTTTCTCAAACTTTGGTGGATTGGTATGTAAAAAAAAAACTTTAATGGGTTGGGCCTATTTTTTGTAACCTAAAACCCATACCCAACTATCTCATCTTGTTAAACCTTGTTTACTTCTTTACCTGGTTCCCTCTTTCTCAATTTGTTGCGGCGCCCTAATTCCATCTTCACTCAGTTTGTACTCTGAACAAACAATAATGGCGTACGCAGCTCCTAAACCCACGAAGCCTGGTCTGGAGGAGTCTCAAGAACAGATCCACAAGATCAGGATTACCCTTTCCTCCAAACACGTCCAAAATCTCGAAAAGGGTACGTTTATCGTTTCTTTCATCTTTCATTCGTTATGTTTTTGTTGATATCACTAAAATCTGACATATCGTTTTTCCCTTATTGTTGTTGTTATTAGTTTGTGGTGATTTGGTTCGTGGTGCCAAGGATAAGCGTCTTAGAGTGAAGGGACCTGTTAGGATGCCCACTAAAGTTCTTCACATCACTACTAGGAAGTCCCCTTGTGGAGAAGGTATTTTTTTTTCATTTACAGAGATTATGTTATGTAATGATTTGATCAAAAAAGGTAGAGACATAAATATTGAAAGAGTTTATTTTTAGGTATTATTTGGATTGTTTTATAACATGATGAGGGTTACATTTTATTCATAATTTATGTAAATAAGCTCTTAGAATGACTTACAAATGGGTGCTTAATAAGTTCTTAATTTAGATGTCCACCAAAATGTGCGATGAATTAGTTCATGCAAAGTTAGATATTATTTTTAATAGTAATTAACAGAATATGACAAGATGCTGAGACACAACAATTACGGTTCAGTGGAGATGAATGTGTGCCTTTTGAAATAAAGTTTTGGATTTAGGGTTTAAAGAATAAACTTCTCACTTGTAGGGTTTGTTTTAACTACCTGACTTATCATAATCCTAGTAATTGACCAAATATGTCCCTAATGTCTTAACCTTAACAAATGTTCAATAAAACCTCAGTCATAAATGTCTAAAGAATATGAAAAAGTCATTTTCTCAGGAATATGCCTGTCTATTAACATATATCATGTAAAAATCCTTTGAATATATACTATTATATTTTTCATTTAGTAGGATCTTATGATTTTTCTTGCGATCTTATGTTTTACAATCTTGTTACCCCTTTTTTATCTTACAAAAATGATTGAGTAGGATCTTATGATCTTAACTACAATTTTATATTTTAAGATCTTGCTATCCTCTCTCGATCTTAGGTAAGATCTCAATCTTGACAACCTCGTGCTTTCTTGTTTTATCTCGAGTCACCTCATCATAATTTTCCCTTATGTCACCTGTAGTATGTGCCAACTATATGTTTCTTATCTAGTAATATTGTTCTGTGTGTAAGCCTTAACCTGTTTATTTGACTTTTGAAGTGTAGTGATTGATTTGTAGTGTTTGCTGAATGTTCTTACTTACTGAATGAATTATGTTGATAACTCTACTTCTTGTTTCAGGTACTAACACCTGGGATAGATTTGAACTCCGTGTGCACAAGAGAGTCATTGACCTATACAGCTCTCCAGATGTTGTTAAGCAAATCACCTCCATCACCATTGAACCCGGTGTCGAGGTTGAAGTGACCATTGCAGACGCTTGATCTTGATCCCACTTTTAACTTATTATGTCTTCCATTTCTTCTTTTGCCTCATGTATTTTGATAGTTTTGGTATGTATTTGGGACAAAATTGGCCTGTTTTCTTTAGTTTTACGGTTCTGAACATAGATGAGTACTTTGAGAAATGTCATCTTAATATATTTCAGATTCTCACATTGTTATGGTATTATATTATGATATTTGATCATTGTAATTCCAATTACATGTTTAATTTTTTATTTACAAATGTTTCTTTTCTTGTTTGATCTCATGTTGATTCAATTTTATCATGAAACTCGTTGTGAAGTAAAGGGAATGTTTCTCCACCATAGTTCTGATCACTTCATTACACTTTTTCTTTCCCCCCTCTCATTTTTCCAACAAAGATCACTCTCCGCTTCAAACCCTGCCAATTTCACCTCAATTCCTTAGCTCAAATCTCCTTCAAAGTTCACATATTTTATTCATTTTGTGAAATACCCTTTTTGGCTGGCTTTGGTCTCTATGACAAGGCTTCCCACATGGAAGGAGAGAGAGAAGAAGAGCTATAGCTGCTAAGATCTTCTCTTGTTTGAGAAAGTAACTTCATATTACCTCATGGCTTTGGTCTCTGATAACAATGAAGTTCTTAAAGCTTTGTAATGAAGTTGATTGGACTGTTGAACCTCATGGAACCACTTACCGTAGGATAACATTACTTTTCACCATCCTTACATTATCAACTTTTCTTAACAAATGCCTACTCAACTTTTCTTAACAAATGCCTACTCATGCACCTTTACTATTCATGCTGAATTGTTAAAATAATAGACTACTGTGATGTGATTTTTCAAAATTCAAAGTGTAGTTTTTAATTGTCAATTATGAAATTAGGAAAAAGAGAAAAACTAAATTCTTGATTTTTCTTTAGTAGACAATGGTCCTGGCATTTTAGTGGGAATCACCAAAGATTTTATCACTTTCTTTGACTCATTATATGCTTTTCTACATCATAAGATTACTGCTCCAAAGAGATACATGCAAGAACGTGGAGAGTGATCTTTGTTGGAAAAATAAGAGAGGGAGAAGAAAAAGTGTGTAATGAAAATGAAGGAAAAGTAAAACGTGGAGAGTGATCTTTGTTGGAAAAATAAGAGAGGGAGAAGAAAAAGTGTGTAATGAAAATGAAGGAAAAGTAAATGGTGAAAAGCGTGGATTTTATGTGGGGTAGATGTTGAAGAGGTACGTACTTGTTATATATCATTTGCAGCTACAATTTAATAGGAAGGTTTTTGAGAATTTTCTTTCTTACCCTCACTTAAACCGACATCTTCCATTTACTCCTCATGGAATAGTTTTTTCACCCATTTGAAAAATAGTATATATATATATATATTTTTGCAATACATAAACAAATTTGCGTAATATTATATTAGAAAATTTAAAATTTTCTAATATAACTAAAACATTTATCTTTGAAAATTTCAAAATTTTTAGTAAAAAATTACCTGCAAATTTTTAGTAGTTATAAAATTTCAGAATTTTTCGAAAAATTAGGAAATTCTAAAAATGAAGGAAAAAAATAAAAAAATTAACTATCGGAAATTTCACTAAAGCTAAAATTTTTTTGATTTCTGAAAAAATTTCTAAATTTTTTAAAAATTTGCAAGTGATTTTGTATCAGAAATTTTGAAATTTTCGCAGGTAATGTTTTCATTATTGCCGAAAATTTTAAAATTTTAGAATTTCTCGAAAAATTAGGAAAATTTTAAATTTAGTGAAAAATTTGATAGTTAATAATCTTTTTTTCCCTGTCTTTGGCAGTCAAATACGAGCTAGGGCTGTTGAGGTTGCGTCTTCTCAGATATGGGCTAGACGGGTGGTTCCAACCAGTTCACAACAAAAACGGTTGGCTAAGCAGAAGAAGTCGCGCACTCTGTAGCACCCGACGTCGAGCGACTGATAACTCACCTTTCGTGAGTTATCATTGGCCCAATTTATTTCACTTTCTTAGTTTATTTAACTTGTTATTAGATTATTTTAGATCATTTTAGTTGGTTTGTAGTATTTAGCATGAAGCACAATAAGTGCTCCCTTTTGTTGGATTAATGCTTTTGTTGCTTGAATTAAGGTTGTTCTTGATGAGGTAAGGCAAAACTGTGTCAGACAACACCTGAGAGTGCTAGCTGAAGCAAGAAGATGAAATTCTAACCAAGAGTTTTAAATGAAGAAAGCAACTGAGTTCTAGGGAAAGCGTAATAAGAGCAGAATACTATAGGAAAATGTGCTTGGACTGAAGGAATTCCATTTGAATTTGTGGATAAGATCAAGGAGGCATTAGAAGACAAAAGTAGTACAATTGTACATCTATCACCCTGCACAATCTTCTAGAAAGGACAACGCCGCATGCACCCTACTGTAGCAGTCTTCACCATAACACTTTGTCTCCCACCAAGTTTCCTTTACCTGATTTCTTGGAGGCTAAGCAGAAGAATATTGAGGACAACATTGATTTAATTATTGGGCTTGATGTGATTTCCTTAACATTGACTCATGATCCAAGGTTCCTCAAGAAATCCTAGATGAAGGTTTTAAATAGACCATGCTGAAGATCAGAAAGAGAGTTCACAATTCCAAAAAATACAAGACAAAGCATAATATTGTCAGGTTTGTGGAGAGAAAGAGAGTTCTTTTTCTCACCAAATTTGGTTCTAGCTACTGAGTCTTGGCGCGTCTGAAGTCATCCCTGACTGAGTGTCTCTCATTCAAGGAGGATTCAAGTTACTCTTAGGTTTATATTTCTTTTCAATATTTGTCTAAGAATGTATCTTTTGAGAACCATGCTGGTAGTTTATACTAAATTCATTATGAGCTAAACCTTTTTGTATGTTGAGCAATGGAAAATTAATGTTATGATGTTTTTATGTTAAATGAAGTGTTGCTTAGTGTCTTGTTCTATTATGTGTTAGCTTGCTTAGAAATCTGGTTCTAGGAGTGATCAACTTAGAATAAGATAATAACTTGTTATTGTGAAAGATCCAACAACAAGTGAATTTCATAATAGTAGTTGAAAAGAGTAGAATAAATATATTCACTTGATTAGCTCACTTAGGGATAAGAAGCTACAACTATAAAGGATTTCAGAATATAATAGACGTATTTTAGGGTTATAAGTGTGACTTAGAAATTTGTTCTCTTGCCTTAATAATACATATTTTGATCTTGTAGAAATACACCCTTGGATCACTCTGACCTTTCCTGACACGACACTACACTTCATGAACACATTGTTGCATCATATTCATTAATGGACTTTAGCTCAACATACACTCTCTTGATATTATTTCACACCTAGCATTACTCACTGATATGATCTATAGTGGAAATATTGAACTTGTGACATCCATCTATTATTTTTATCCTTGCTCATGCTTATCTATCAAAAGGTAAATTAATGTAAAATCATATTTAGTAACATTCACTCCCTATAGGTACAATATCCTTACTTTGATCACTTGCTACTTTTAAACATGCACGTATACTTGTATGTGCCACATTTTCAAGCAACAAGTTTTTGGAGCCGTTACCAGGGAGTGCCAAGTTACATATTTATGATTTTGAATTCATTATTAATCTTTGTGATTATTTAAGCATTTGAGCCTTTAACGTTTTTCTGTACTCTGGTGTCACAACATGTGCTTAGCTATTGTATGCGTAAGTTGTTGAATCCCGTCTACAGATGAGATCTTGAACCTGAAAAAACTCTTGGAGTACTAAGGAGATTTCAACTTATTGGACACTAATCAGGAAATCCTCCTCCTTTCATTATGGATGACATTGGTCCAGAAACCGAGTCAGACTTAGGAGAAGAATCAGAAGAAGAGGCAGAAGGAGGCATGCCAGATACCGGCTTATTGGCATTGCCAATAACAGAGCAAGAAACATAAGAGATAATTCATTCTTTGATCCAAACGCTATGAATACTGGAATTGTAAGGCCAACAATTGATGCACCACAGTATGAGTTCAAACCTATGATGTTTCAAATGTTGCAACCCACTAGGAAATATTCAGGCTCTACACATAATACCCTAATTTACACTTAAGATAGTTCTTGGATATTGCTATTAATTTCAAAATTCCTGGTGTCATTAATGATGCATTCAGATTGAGGCTCTTTCCATACTATCTAAGGGATAGAGCCAAGAGTTAGTTAAATTCCTTGGAGCCTAATTCCATTACCACATGGAATGATTTGACTGAAAAATTTCTAGCCAAATATTTGCCCCCTTCCAAAAATGCAAAGATGAGAAATGAGGTAACTTCCTTCAGACAAGGAGAAGATGAATCCTTATTTGATGCTTGGGAACAATTTAAGGAGCTACTTAGACGATGTCCTCACCATGACATTCCAATATGTATTTAACTTGAAACTTTTTATAATGGATCAGTGCCTTCCTCAAGGAACATGCTAGATGCTTCTAGTGGATGAGCTCTTCCGTCTAAATATTATGAAGATGGTAACAATTGATTGAGAGCATTACTGTCAATGGCCTATCACTAGGGCCACTATTAATTCAACTCAAACGAAATATGTTGGGGTTTATAAGGTCACTGAGACTACAACTCTGGCTGCTCAGGTGGCTCAAATTCACAAGATGATGAAGAATCTCATGACCCTTGAATTGACAAAGCATGAACCTGTGAAGATGGTTAATGACGCATCAGCGGTTTCTTGTGTGTACTGTGGAGGTGCGCATCTTTTTGAAGAATTTTCATGAAATCGTGTTTCTGTTAACTATGTTGGCAATAACAACAAGTATAACAACTCTCTACAGTAACACTTACAACTCTGGTTGGCGCAATCATCCTAATTTTTTATGGAGTAATAACCAAAATTAACTTAAGCCTCAAATAACTCAAGTACCAAAAATTCCTCCTGGTTGGCCAACACCTAACTATGCTATGGAAAATCAAGGAAATAACTAGCTGGAAAATATTTTGAAGTCCTTCATTCAAGAGACC